TTTTCCTTCCTCTTCTTCTTCCTTTTTATTTATTTATTTTTTCCTATCCGGTTTAAATGTTCGGCTGAAATATTGAATAAATTGATTATTACAATTTCTAAATACTTTTTCATGGGTATGAATATTTATCACAGACATTTTATTAAATTCTTGATAACAATGAAGCAATGGACACTGAGTAGGGTACAACTGGCATTTCTCAATGGCTTACTAATGAATTTCTATTCCTGTCAAACAATTAATGATTGAAATATTGAAGACTCCATTGGAATAAAAATCTAGAAAGAATTAGAGCTTGTCTTCAGTATTTTATTTTGACTGGAAAAACAAAATATGAATTTCTATTTGGACTGGGATAACAACATATGAATTTCAGAGCAAAAATTTCAGTATTTTATTCCAATGGAGTCTTGACTGATTTTGTATTTCTAACTTATGCAGACAAGCTCTAGTTTGATTGAAGGTTGCTGGCAATTAATGTTTACAAGAAGACCTGGAACTGCATCCCCTATTTAGGTTGACTTGATGCTATTGGTTCAAATATTATTATTATAACCCTGGTTTGAAGTTACAAGCTCTCATCTCATAACTTACTTGGTAGGTGTAGCATATTAAAATATAACTATTTATCACGAAACAAATTATCCAACTGCGTAGCATGAATATAAGAATTTTTGTACTACAAACATACTTCCTAAATAACCCATCAAAGAGTATTTTGTTTTTATATCAGTCTTAAACTTTTCAGACCGTTACTTATAATTTAATATGAATGTGTGGATTTAATTAAACTGTGTGAAATCAATAACTAAATTTTTATTCAACAAGTAGTCCTGTGACAAATATTCATATGGATAAGAATTGTGTGCTCTACATGTTTAAATCACATATAAAAAAGTATATTCTTTTTCTTTTTACCTTTTTTTCCCTTTTTCCTCTGAGTTAAAGATTTCATTTTTTTACTTTCAGTGTATTATTTACACCTTCACTATACACAGCAAAAAAGTTCCCTATGACCTAATGCATAAGTTAACACATATGTGAATGTTGGGACTGCATATTTCATTGTTCGGGTCACCATATCAGGCAGGGGGGGTAAAGGAATTAAATTTTAGAACATAATTAAATCATTCATGTGCTTAAGGTGTCTTGTTGAAATCAATAAAAAATAGGCACAATAAAATAGATGATGTAAAGGTTTTATTCTAATTGATAATAGATTATAAGATGCAGCAATGGTGGACCTGGATATGTTTATCATATAGGCACTCTGATTATGTTTATCACATACATGTTGATACGATCCGCAAAAGTGAACTAGCAATTCATGGATGGGCAACGAGACATTGAAATTGCAATAGGATGTCATTGTGGTATGAGCATACTACAGGAAGAGCTGAAGAACTGTTCCAATAGCCTCATACCTTGTTATTTTCTTTGATTTCTTTGTTCTTTTAATTTTTGGTGAGAGCGAAGTGTAGTTTGAGATTGAATTTTTAGTGATTGTTTTTGCCAAATCACATATTGTACGTACTATTGCTCTTGTATACATGTTAAATTCTCAAGTTTTCTTCTTAGTTAAATTCTTTGGCTGTGTTGAATGAATTTTGTTCCTTAATTGAGGTACCAAAACTGTGAGCAATTTTTAATTTTTTAAATGTTATTGTTCCTTAATTGTGGTTGGGTTGAATGAATTTTGTTCGATATTGGATTGAATGTTTAAAAACAAAAATTGAATGTTCTCAAAAAAAAAGATAAAGAGATTTGGCGACTAAAAAATTGGTCAGCAAATTCTACACTTTTGCGACTAAAATCATTGGTCGGCAATTCCTTACCTTTTGGCGACTAAATTGTTAGTTGGCGATTCCTTGACTTTTGGCGACTAATCTGTTTGGCCGTGGAATGTGACAATTGGCAACTAAAATATTTGGTCGGGAAAATATCACTTTTCGTGACCAAAGTGTTTCACCGACAAAATGGATTAGTCGCTGTAATGATATATTTAGCGACCAAAAATTTAGTCAGCCAATCCAACTTTTCCCGACTAAAAAAAATTTTGGTCGCAAATTACTTTTGCCGACCCTCAATTGGCGACCAAAGTAGCGACTAAAAAAATTGGTCGCGAATAACTTTTGCCGACTAAAAATGGGCTTTTAGCGACCAATTTTTTGGTCGGCAAAAGTGTTATTTCTTGTAGTGTATGAAAAAAATGCTTGCAAATTACAAAAGTATTACTTTCAATGGTCTTGTTTGGGACGAGAGTTGCGCTAAAATAGCTCATTAAAAGACAATATAAGTTAAAATAGTCAATAAGACAAAATGTTTCATTCAACCTATAATTATTTTACTTTTTTCTTTCACAACCATCAAATCAACTACAAAAAATAAAAAAATAAAAAACTAACCAACTTCTCAAATATAATTATTTTAGTCAGGTTAAAATAGCTAAAAAATCAAATAACTAGCTAAAATAAAATTGCCCAAAAAGCCATTATTTTAGCCGAAGATGTTTTTAATAAAAACTTCAGAGGAACTATTTCATTTCATTTTCAAAATCTATTTTTTGAAATTTTTACCCCGTTTGACAATAATAAAAATAAAAAAGATATTTTAAAATTTATTTCCACCTAAAAAAAAGATAAAATCATATAAAAATGACTAGTAGTTTGTATTTTTCATTTTTTTTTTTACGAAATTAGTTTTGAGATTTTTTTTAAAAAAAATTGAAAAAGTTTATTCTGAAAATCAAACCAAAAGATCCGTTATTTAATTAGTAATGTTATATTTACCACAATTATTTATCACATAATACAATATACTCACTGCGATTAAATATTACATGAATCCATTAGATCAATGATTGTAACTAAGACATGATAAACAATATACCTGGTGCAAACTTTAGACCCCTATTTTGGAAAAAGGCCCAAACTTTCTAATTGAAAGCCGAAATACAATTCTATATTTTTTCTTCAAGAGGCTTATTTTGGAAAAAGCCTCCACACAATTTAAAAAATAATAATAATAAGAATAATAATAATAAAGGCTTTATATATCTTAAATAGCGACGCTCAATCTATAAACATAATAGAGGTTTTACTTATTTCAAGATCCCACAAGTTTCATATTTAAATCCACGCTAACTTTTTATAAAGTTTACATTGTATAATACCGTATATATTTTAGGACAAAATTCAGATATGATTTGATAGCACTTTACCCTTTGATAGTACTTTACCCCTTTGTCTTTCAAAAATAGCCATATGTCCCTCATATGATTTTGGACTAAAATACAGCCATTAACACTGTTAACTATAGATGTTAAATGATTATAATATCCTCAAATCCTATATTTTTTATTATTTTATTTCTCTCTCGTTTCTCATACACATAATTTATAATATTTAGTATTAATTCAATTAAATTACAATTAATTATAAATTCTTAATTATATTTTGTAATTCTTAAAATTTTAATTTAATTATATTTTACATCACAATTAATCCTAAATATTTAATTATTTACTTTAATTCTTACTTTTGAATCTAATTTTAATTTAATTATAATTTAGATCACAATTAATTATAAATTATTAATTATTTTTAGATTATTTCTACAGTTTTCTAAAAAATTCTAGAGGTTGTTTACTCATATTTTCAATTATTTTTTAGATTATTTCTTCTAATCTTTTTGGAAGTTCATCACCCGATAATCCTCTTTCTATCAATTGCTTATTTATAGTAGGACAAAATTCATTTTACTCCCTTGTGACTTAAGGTTAAAGCATTTTATCCCCCAATAGTTCAAATATAGCCATCAAGTCCCCGTGTAGTTTTGGACCAAAGTACAACCGTTAACACTGTTAACTATAGATGTCAAAATGACGGTAATAAATCCTATTTTTTTTTTTGTTATTTTCTTTCTCTCTCTTCTCTCATACACATAATTTATAATATCTAATATTAATTAAATCACAATTAGTTATAAATTCTTAATTATTTATTTTAATTCTTATCTTTTTATTCTAATTTTAATTTAATTATATTTTGATCACAATTAATCTAAATATTAAATTATTTACTTTAATTCTTACTTTTTAATCTAATTTTAATTTAATTATATTTTATATCACAATTAAATCTAAATTCTAAATTATTTATTATTTATTATTTATTATTTTTTCAACATGTTAATTTAATTTTAATTTTAATTTAATCATATTTTAGTTCATTTTTAATTATTATTTAGTTTGTATTTTTATTTAATTATATTTTAAGTAAATTCTTAATTATATTTTATATTTTTATATTATATTTTATTTTAATCAACACATTTATCTAATTTTAGATTGGGAGAAAATTGGGATAAAATGATCCGTTTGTTGTATTAATTTCATTTTATTTTTTCAAAAAATTAAATCCAATCTAAAAAATGGTGTGTGTGATATACTATCTGAATGAAAAACATAACAATGACACTTCAGTCCAAAATTATATAGGAATTTTTTGGTTATATTTGAATCATAAGCAGATAAAATATTCCAACTCTAAATCATGAGAAAACAAAATGAATTTACCCCTAAAATAAAATGAGAACAAAATAAGAGTAGAAACAAAAAGAGAGTCTGAATAAAATACATGTTCACATTCTCTTGTTAGACTGCCGACATAAGAATAACGTGGTCATTAAATGATGATTTTTATCTTTATACTTTCCTAAATTGATGGTTTTTATCTTTATACTTTCCTAAATTGATGGTTTTTATCTTTATACTTTCCTAAATTGATGGTTTTTATCTTTATACTTTCCTAAATTGATGGTTTTTATCTTTATACTTTCCTAAATTGATGGTTTTTATCTTTATACTTTCCTAAATTGATGGTTTTTATCTTTATACTTTCCTAAATTGATGAATTAGAATAAGGGGTTGTTTGGGGTGTTCTAATACACTATCAGCTTAATATTGAAAAAAACTATAAAACTATAAAACAAAAAAGAAGAAGAAGCATTCCAGAGAAGTTATGGATGACATGCAAACTGTGTTCACATGGTTTTGCTTATAAACTGTGTTCTTGAATTCCCTCACTTCTTCCCATATATGCCCTTTTAAAAGAGAAAACAGATTACTACTTACTTTAGGAATTCAAAATTTAAATAGAAGCAAAGAAACAAACTAATTGGCAATAACCCTCAATTAATTGGCACTTGAACCCCACTCAAAAACTTCATAGTAAAACAATCCAATTCTGGAAAATGTAAACAAATTACATTTTCTGGAGAGCCAAAAACAAATACAGATAGCAAAATAGAAGAAGAATTTTGAAGAGAGAAGAGCAAAGCCCTAACCTTGGTATTGGCAGAGATGGTTTGTTGTGCGGTGGTCAACAACAAACATTACCACACATGGCCCAAGTAAATGAAATTGAGCAACATACAAAATTGGATGAAAAAAGAAAAATAGAAGAAGAATTTTGAAGAAAGAAGAGCAAAGCCCTAACCTTGCTATTGTCAGAGGTGGGTTGAATTAGAAACCTGTGACAGAACAAAAAAATAGAAGACATCAAACATCTAGATTCTTAATAAAACCCTAAAATAACCAAAACACTAAAGCGGGAAAAAAGACTTACCTTGCAAGCCGAGTTTGAGACACAACCCGATAGAGAAAGAAGACGAGAGGTAGAAATCGAGGACTAGAAAGCAGCGTCGGGAGTGAAGAGGGAGGATAGGAAAGAAGAAGAACAGAGAGGGAGGGAGAGAGAGAGATAAAGAGAGAATAGGGAGGAGACGTGGATAGGTGGGAGTGGGAGTGGGAGAGGGAGAGAGCACAGAGTATTTGGGCGGGAGAGAGCACAAAGTGTTTGGGAGAGAGAACACAAAGCACAGAGCGTTTGAAAATGTCCTGATACATTTTATTTATTTCAAAAAATTATATAAATTTTTTTTATAAATTTTCAAAAATCATTCTATTTATTATATAGATTTTTATAAAGACATGGCAAATGGATGGGTTTGCACGAGTCAAAATAAATTTTGTATTAAAAATTTGTTTTAGTTTTTAAAGGTTATTTTCTAAGTTTTTAATCAGTATTTTTTATTTTACAGAATTTTTTCAATATTTTAATCAATTAAAAATACATTTTTTTAAAATACATCTAAAAGTAAAATATTTGTGAACAAATATTAAAAAAATCAATAAATATATATAAAAATATACGGAGTTTTCGTATCTTTTTAGAATTTTTTGTGTATGGTGATTTTTTTAATAATTTTTTTCATAAATATTATACTTTTAAAGTTTATCTGGATTATGTGTATCTAAAAAGTAAAAAAATAAATAATTATTAAAATATTAAAATAGTTCACTAAAAATTCAAAAAATATGAATTAAAAATTAGAAAAATAGTTTTCAAAAATTGAAACAAACAGAATCGATCCAAATCCACGTATTTAATAAATGGTTTTAAATGGGTTGGGCGGAGGTGGAGTGTCAATAGTGGTAATGGAGAAGAGGTGGTGGAGGTGGAGTAGCGGTGGTAGTGGAGAGGCAACGATGGAGGTTGAGTGGCGACGGCAGCAATGGTGGTGGTGGTCGTTGTGAAGTAAGGCGGTGGTGGTGGAAGAGAAATGGTGGCAGCGGCTATAGTGGTGGTGGTGGTGGGGTAGTGGTGGTGGAAGTAGTATAGAGGTGATGGTGGTAGTGGTGGTGGTGTAGTGGCAGCGATGGTGGTGTGAAGATAGTGGATGAGAGGTAATGGTGGTGGTGGTGAAGTGGCGGCAGTGGCAACAGCAGTGGTGGTGGAAAAGAGTGAGTGGTGGCAGTGGTAGAGTCGTCATAGTGTTAGTGAAGGACAGGTAATGGTGGTAGTAGAGTGACGACGGTAGTGGAGTAGCGGCGACAGTGGTTGTGGAGTTATGGCGGTTGTGGTGATGGAAGTGGAGAAGAGGTGGTGGCGGCAGTAGCGATGGTGGTAATGGATCTGTGGCCGCAGAACTGGTGGTGGTGGTGGAGCGTTGGCAATGGTGGTAGAAAAATTCCATTTAAACAGATTTAAACAGGTACTCATGTCTAACCCAAAGAGGGCTTCGCAAGATAGGAACTGATTTGGGCAAACAAATAGGGCTTTACACTTATAACATGAAACGGTGTCGTTTTGCATAATAAAACTACAGAAGACGAAGTTATTTCCTCACGGAAAATTTTTACAATGGTGGCGAAAATTTTCGTCACCAAATTGGCACCCAAATCTCCCACCAAACTTTCCAAGGGCGGGAATTTATTTTGTGATAAAAAAAATATATAGAGACCGAAAAAAAAATTCGTCGCCTATTGTTTTATTGATTTTAAGCATTTAATGACAAAATTTCATTTTCCTCTTTAAAAATAGTACAATTGGAGACGAAATCTTATTTTCATCTCTAAAACATGTAATCCTATTTTTGTCATACGTTTTTGTCACCAAAGACTTTTTTTGTTGTAGTGGTAGTGTTGCTACTGTTTGTTGTTGATCATTTTATCTTGAGAGATAGACGTCCACAATCTAAAAGTACCGTGAAAAGGACGAACCTGTCTTAAGGACACAATATTAAATACTAGACTTAATCAAAATTTTGTTCAATAAATACATAAGTCTCTCTTCTTTCTTTATTTCTTTTGTTTGTTGTTAAATACATAAACATTATTTATTCTTAATACAGTGAAGATTGTCCAACAAAAAAATAATACGTGAAATAGAGCATAACCATTTTACTATTTCTGCTCTCAAATTATACAAATGCTTCCCCATTCAACAATAACTCTTCCTTAATAAATAAAACATTGAACAAAATTTTTTAACATCTAGAGGAGGATGAGGTTTTTTGACTCAATTTTGGGTTGATGAGCACGACTTGACTAAAAGGTTGAAAGATTTTGTTACTACATCAACTATGGCCCTATTTGGGAAGGATTATTTAGATTAAAATAGTCAATAAAAATAAAATAATTAATAAGATAATTTGTCACATTCGATTCATAGTCATTTCATTTTTTTTCTCACAATTTATCAAATCAATTACAAAAAAAAAAAAAAATATCTTTTCAAACACAAATTTTTTGGCCAAATTAAAATAATTAAAAAGTCAAAAAAACTAACTATAATAGCTAACCTCTCAAAGGAGACCTATATTACTCACAAATCTACATTCAATCTCACGCAATTGGTTTAAATATATTGGGTCTTGTCCTAAATATTAAGACCAAAGCCTTACTCGTACCCAAAGAATCAACAAGGCCTTATCAAATAACAAGATTACATGCAGAATTGATAACATAATTAACTATATAAAATAATTTTAATCATGCATATTAGATTGTGGATCCCATTATAAATGATAGTTTCATTCAAATTACTCCACTTATATTTTATATGATTGATTCTGTATCTGTAGACTTGTCTTGTTTGGTTTTAAAAAATTGAGCCTACTTTTTTCAAAATTAAGCTTTTTATTTTCATGTTCTTTTTAGTCAAAAAAATTGTATTTTTAAGATTTTTTATTTTTTAGATGCACCTAACTTAAATAAAATTAAAAAATATAATATTTATAGAAAACATCTTTAAAAAATTCATCAAATATAAAAAAATATATAAATTCAATACATTTTCGTATTCTTGTATATTTATTAAGAAAATTTTATAATAATTAGTTTCTATTATACCCTAATATAAGTTTATTAAGAAAGACAATACACATTAAATTTTAAAATAAATTTTTTTTTTCCCAAATAACATTTTTCATATTCAACTCTCTTCATCTCTTTCTTTAAGTTTTCAATTATTTTATCTTCATTTTCTTCTCATTCCAAAACTCCAATTCATCCCACTCAAACTTATCATTATCATCAATATCATTATCATATAGATATTTTACTTTATGTTTTTGGATGGTTTGATGTCACAAGCAAAAGTAACCAAGTTCTTGTCTAATTAAGCATCGGCATTGGGACAGACGGTGAAACCACAAGCAGAGTAGCCTGAAAAGATGAAGCTATTGTTGCAAACCTCTTCGCATCTCTGGTCACTTCGATTGCTATCTAAAAATCAGAGAGAGAGAGAGAGAGAGAGATATTCACTTTGCTTGGTTCCCATTTTTAAAAAACAGTTTTCAGAAAATTCTACACTCTTATTTTCCGTGTTTTTTTGTTTTTACTGAATTTTTTAAATATTTAATGCAATTTTTTTACTTTTTAGACAACCTAACATAAATACACCTAAAAAATAAAAAAATTGTAAAAAAAATCTTTTAAAAATTCACTAAATACCAAAAATACAAAAAAATACAAGAATTTAGTACATTTTTTGTATTTTTATGTATTTCTTAATTTTTTAAAATATTTTTTCACAATTTTTTTACTTTTTAGACACATCTAAGTAAGGTGTATCTAAAAAAGTAAAAAAAAATGTTTAAAATTTTAAAAATATTCACTAAAAACAAAAAAACACGAAAATCAAAAAACTTAGTTTTTAAAAAACTTAATCCAGAAAACTCAAACCAAACACAGTGATTTGAATTTAGGGTTCAAATTATCCACAGATCGATCGTTCGGTTCCACCAGAAAACCAGCGTTTCTCAATCGATTCGTTTGGTTCCTAATTTTTATCGGGTAAATTTGCTATATCGATTCAAATTTGTCTGCACTATATAATCGATTGTAGAACCTAGTTGTTACTGAATCATATTATGTCATGAGTTATTGTTTGATGTACATGGATTTAGATCTATGAGAACCTCAGAACTGTGATTTTTTGTTGTTTATGGTTTTATTTCATGAGGATTCTGGTTATGGATTTGAAGTTTTGAACCAAATATCCATGAAAGTATTCAGATATGTGCGAATTATGGAATTAAAAGTTTTGGCCGGTCATTAGTTTGGGTTATTTATAATTGAGTACAGATTCCGATGAAAATGTATTGAATTTCGCTGTTTTCCTATTACCGTTGATTTTGATGAAAATTGGAGGAATCTAATGACTATTTGGTATGTATGAAAAGAAAAGTTGTTGACAGATAACTAAGAAACACTGATATAGCGCCGTTACAGTGCCATTATGGCCGTTAAATTTCTGTTTTCAACCGACTTTGTATATAAGATACTTTTTATTATTTTTTTATTTTTTAATATAGAAAAGACACATATAACTTATGCTGAAACCTTAGATCTACATACTAAGTGTCTAATCCTCAAGTTCTAGAAGATTTTGAGTTGCTTTCAAGGTTAAATGAACTTAGTTCTCTTTTATTTCAATCATTCATTAATTTTGCTCATTAATCAACAAACTTCCTTTACATTATCACGTGATTATTTACTTATATCTATTGATTATTAGCTTATATCTATTTGGTTTCAGATTAAATTTGTTAGACAAAACTTGGATATCATGTTATGTATTTTCACATTAGTACGTTGGCATTTGTATTACGAACTTATGTTTATGAGACTTATCATTTTAATATTAAACAGGTTTCATAATTTTTTTTTTTTTTTTTGGTCTTCCCCCTAAGACTCAACTCACTACCATCGAAGCTTTCCTTTCAACCAAAAAGGCCCATTGAGTGCTGCACCCAAGGTATTGGTTTCACACTTCCAAAATGAGTATGTCTGTTCTAACTGCCCAATGGGTACTGCATCACAAAACTATAAGCTAAGATGCACACATAGAGACACAACACAATACGAACATGCTATGGACATGCTGACAACCATTTTTAAAAAACTACAGGACACAACACGCGTGGGATGTGCACAAAATGTATAGTTTTATATATTTATTTTGTGGTATATTTAAATATATAGATATTACTTT